GGTCAGTCTGGCCGCCTTCCACCTAACGGAAGAGGCACAACTCTGGTTCTACCGTCTGGAGCAGGAAGAACCCGGGCTCAGTTGGGAACAATTTAAATCCTATTGCCTCCTCAGGTTTGGACCCCCATTGACAAGCAACCCGCTGGGTGAGTTAATTAACCTCAAGCAAACTGGAACCGTGGCAGAATATCAACGCCAGTTCCAAACCCTTCTCGCCAGGGCAGCCTCGGTACGCCCAGATCAAAAAGTAGATATGTTCACCGCGGGGTTAGCAGAACCCATAAGGGTGGACGTGGAGATGCAACACCCTCTCAACCTAGTCACAGCAATGAACCTCGCACGTGCCTTCGAACGGAAACTGCAGCTCACCCACGGAACCCTCAGTATAAGTCGGCTAGCAACGACCTGAGCACCTTTGAAGACAGCAGGAGTGTCTCCTTCTTCGACCGCCAGCAGGGAACAAAGGCCTCCTACCAGTAACCCTTCCAGATCAGCATCAAGTATAGGGAGTAGCAGGACAACGCCCCCCATTAGACGACTGTCCCGAGCCGAGATGGTAGAACGGCGTGCAAGAGGGCAGTGCTTCAACTGCGATGATCTATACTCCTCGGGGCACAGGTGCAAGAAGCTATTCTGTCTTTTGGTAGACGAACCCGAAGAGGACGAGGATGAACCTACAGCATCAGACCCCGAGATCTCCCTCCACGCAATCACGGGGATCAAAACCTCACAAACCATGCAACTAAGGGCTCTAGTAGCAAGGAAACCAGTACGTATTCTTGTAGACTCCGGAAGCACCCACAACTTTGTCAGTGAACAGGCTGCCTGCCAGTTAGAATTACCGATGGAAATCAGGCCACAATTACAGGTAGCCGTGGCAAACGGGGAAAGAGTTCACAACCCCGGTATCTGCAAGGACACCAAAATTTAGGTCAGATCAGAATCTTTCCTTGCTGATTTGTTCATACTCTCCTTGGATGAATTCGACATCGTCCTGGGAGTCAAGTGGCTGATCACTCTAGGGCCAATCCTATGGGATTTCAGCGCCTTGACAATGACATTCCACCTGGATGGAAAACTGGTTACATGGCAGGGAACCAGGATAAGAACAAAGACGTAGTTGCATTCACTTCAAGGTGAGAACTTGCGCGCAACAGATATGGAGAGGCTTCTCACGGATTTCTCTGCAGTATTCCAAGAACCCAAGGGGCTCCCACCGTCCAGAGCCTGCGTTCATCGGATCCCTCTGATAGCCGGATCAGATCTCGTCGTTGTCCGACCCTATCGCTACCAACACTGACAAAAGGATGAAATAGAAGGGCAGTGTGCGGATATGTTACAGCAAGGGATCATCCGTCCCAGCCGCTCCCCCTTCTTCTCTCCGGTTCTGTTGGTACCCAAGCAAGATGGGACTTGGAGATTTTGTGTGGACTACAAAGAGCTTAACAGCCGAACGGTCAAGGATAAATTTCCTATCCCCATCGTAGATGAGCTATTGGACGAACTCCATGGCGCCCAATATTTCTCAAAATTAGACTTCCGGTCGGGTTACTTCCAGGTCCGGATGACTCCCGAAGATATAGAGAAGACGGCCTTCAGAACACATCATGGCCATTTTGAATTCCTAGTTATGCCATTCGGCCTCWGCAACGCACCTTCCACATTCCAGTCCCTGATGAATGAGGTATTTCACTCCCACCTCCGCAGATTTGTCTTGGTATTCTTTGACGACATCCTAGTCTATAGCAAGTCGTGGGTAGAACACGTGCAGCATCTACGGACTGTTTTTGAACTCCTGCGACAACACCAACTCTTCCTTAAGCGATCCAAATGCTCCTTTGGAGTCACTGTGGATGACTCCAAGATTCATGCGATCAAGGAATGGCCCAGACCGCAATCCGCCAAGGCTCTCCGCGGGTTCCTAGGGTTGACGGGTTACTACCGCAAGTTCGTACAAAATTACGGACTTCTGGCGGCCCCACTAACCAATCTGCTCAAGAAAAATGCCTTCCACTGGGATAATACAGCCGATGCAGCCTCTGCGAGTTTAAGAGAAGCCCTCTCCTCCACGTTGGTTTTACAGCTGCCAAACTTTGAGCTCGAGTTCACAGTCGAATGCGATGCATCCGGCACCGGCGTCGGCGCCATACTACAGCAGCAAGGGCATCCAGTCGCCTTCTTCAGCCACAAACTGGTTGACCGCCACCTTAAATTACCCGCCTACGAACGTGAACTGATTGGGTTGGCTAAGGCAGTGCAGCACTGGAGGCCATACTTATGGGGAAGGTCCTTCGTCGTCAAGACGGACCACTACAACCTCAAATACTTGTTGGAACAACGACTTACCACTTCGCCGCAACAACATTGGGTCAGCAAACTACTTGGTTTCGATTTTCGGGTGGAATACAAGGCGAGAACCTTGAACCGTGCAGCAAATGCCTTGTCTCGCTGAGAAGAAGACAATATGCTCCTCCATGCGATCTCCCAACCCCGAGCCACCCTGCTGGAATACATCCGGAACACACTGCCGCAATCACCGGAGTGGAACGATCTTGTCCAGAAAATACAGTCCGGAACGACCAACCCAAACTGGTCCATGCACGACGGGTTGGCACTATACAAGGGACGGATATATCTCCCAGCCGACTGTCCCTTAATCCCCTCCGTCATCTCCAACATACACAACTCCACGCATGAAGGTGTCCAGAAAACATTGCACCGCATCCACACTGATTTCCATTGGCAGGGTATGAAGGCTTCGATGCGGGACTTCATTCAGAATTGCTCTATGTGCCAACAACAAAAGTGGGAAAACTTGCACCCAACAGGCCTTCTCCAACCACTTTCACTCCCAACTCAGATCTGGGCCGATATTTCCATGGACTTCATTGAGGGTCTACCCAAGGTTGGCGGGAAATCGGTCTTATTCGTGGTGGTGGATCGTTTTTCCAAGTATGCTCATTTCCTTCCCTTATCCCACCCATATAGCGCGGTTTCAGTTGCCCACGCCTTCTTCACCCATATTTTCTGATTGCATGGGCTACTCGAATCAATCGTCAGTGACAGGGACCCGATTTTTACTAGCACCTTCTGGAAGGAGCTATTTCGACTGCAGGGAACAGCCCTAGCCTTCTCCTCCGCCTACCATCCGTAGACTGACGGCCAAACGGAGGTAGTAAACCGGACAATAGAGATGTACCTCCGCTGTTTTGTGGGAGACCAGCCACGGCGTTGGGTGGAGTACCTTCCGTGGGCCGAATACTGTTACAACACGTCTTATCACTCCTCTTGGCATGACTCCCTTCCGGGTTGTTTATGGTTGGGACCCTCCCCGTCTATTGTCTTACAAACCCGGTTCAACACGGTTGGAAGAAGTGGACCGAAGCCTACAGGACCGCGATACCCTCCTAGCCGAAGTCTCCCTACGCTTACAGCAGGCTCAGGCACGCATGAAGAACGCCTACGATCAGCGCCACAGAGAATTAACCTTTGAACCCGGACAGTTCGTATGGCTGAAGCTCCAACCCTATCGGCAACACTCCCTCAGAYGCAGAGCTTTCCCTAAACTGGCTCCCAAATTCTACGGGCCCTTCAAGATTTTACGGCAGATCGGGAAGGTTGCATATCAACTCGAGCTACCAGAAGATAGCAGACTCCATGATACCTTCCACATGTCCTTACTCAAGCCATTTACAGGGACTCCTCCTGATAAGGCACCTCCCCTACCACCCTTAAAGGACGGCAGACCCATTCTCCAACCTCGGGCTCTTGTCCGGTCCCACGTCAATCGGGGTACCTTAGAATTCCTAGTGGAGTGGGATGAACTACCATCAGCTGAGGCCACCTGGATCCCCTGGTCTGATCTTCACAACGCCTATCCAGATCTCGAGCTTGAGGACAAGCTCGTTGCTCAGGAGGGGTGTGATGTTATGGATGCATTCGTGGGAAAGACATACCGCTGCCGGCAGCAGCAATGAGGAGGGGCCCACACGACAGCTTATCCTGCCAGCTCTCCACCAGCTTACCTTATCCCATCTATTCTTACTTTATCTATTAGACATAGGAGTTAAGTTCTGTTCTTAGTAGGAGTTTGTTTACCTATTAGAAGTAGGAGTTTGATTTAAAGTTGGATTATCCTAGCCTAGTCGAATTCAATAAGGAGTCACCTCTTGTAATCTCCTATTTAAGGAGCWGTGAATTGGGAATAAAGGCATTCAGTTTTTCAGTCAAGGGAAGAGTGAGGAGAGTTCAGGTGATCTTTTGGACAAATCACCCATCAGGTTGCCACAATAGGGTCTGCACGCAAAGGGAGGGGCAAGGGGAAGCTAGAGGTTCTCCCCGTGGACCGACCCGTGACGAGATCCTACGCTCGGGCCCATAACAGCTTTGGTCCTTGGCTTTCTCCTGCTTCAGCCTGTAATCTTGTCATCCCAGTTCCTTAATTCAGTTTTTGCAAGGGTGGAGACTTCAGGGGCTAAGCAGAAAAGGGAACATTCTTTGGTGTATTATCCATGATGTACATCTGAGTGGTTTGTAAAGAAAGGAGCCAAAGAAATTTTGAAAACAGGCAAAACAATATGGATGTGGTGAGCAAGAATTTCAAAGGAACTTTACACCCATGGCTTTCTATCCAGAAACAGTTTATTGGAGTCCATTCTCAGATTTTTTTTTTTATGCGGAGACTCTAAACATTTTGTCTTCTTTTTGTATAGCCCTATGTAGTCACTCAATGTACTCGGGTGGATGTATCCTTTCTTAGTTCAAATTAAGAATATATTTAAACTAAGTTTCAATTTTGATTAACATTTCATAGAGCTTCCGGGAGATGGTGTCGGATTTTTAGCCTCAGAGAGAACTAATTTGAGCATATACTAATATGCTTGTGAAGAACTTCTCCTGTAGCCAAAGCTCCATATAATGAAAAGAAGCTTTCTTATTATTTTATTTCTGACAGGATGTTGTTCTGTGATTGATTTTGTAGGCATCTGAAAATAAGAACATGGTCATAAGTTTGTAACTTTAGAGTTCCTTATGCATATGCCTCTCTAGTTTCCCCTTCAATAAAATTTCCAAACAACCTAAATGTTCCTATTTTTTATTAAACTTAAATGGTTCTTGAATTTAAAAATAAGGGGTATTTCTTTCTATCCGGCATTTCTCACCAGAAGTATTTCAGCCACCTCCTAGAGGTAGAAAATAAAGATTATAATGCTTCAATATTTTTCCCTTAAGAAATACTACAAGATGTATTAATTGTACTTTAAATTGTTCTTGTAATGATGGAGTGATCCTTGTTATGTGCATTAACCTAGGCTGCAGAAGTCAAGCTAAAAAGTATAAATTTTTAGCTCGATTTTTTGCATTATTATTATATAAACAAACCAAATGGGGTGGGGATACCTGTCCAGTCAGAAATAGAAGCTAAGGTTTTCTAGTTGTAAACTTGTAATCAGACCAAGTCAAATTCTTGCTATATGATTATGCCATGATTGAAAGTAAAGAAATAATATACAATTACACGTATTTGGGTATTTATTTCTGGATTTACAAGCTGGATCTTGTTAGGACTAGCTTAACACATGAAACAAGTTACAGAACTATAGTCCTTGGATGATATCAGATCTCTGTTTAACACATATTCTCTGTTCTGTTCATTTCATTCCCTGTAAAATATTATGCACCATGTCTGACCACATGCTTTCCCATTGGCAAACTATTATCATTGTTGTTCTTTGTAGCTTCCATGAAAAATAGGCTATACTTTGTTGGAGAAATTGTGCTTAATGTAAAAGATACAAATGATATTAGAATTGGGAAAATGTTAGATGATTACTCAACCCATCTTGTAATTTACTGGTTATTTTCTTGCTTGTGCTTGTTTCTCACTTATTTTCTGGTCTTATCAAAGTCAACATTGATTACCTTACTGGAAGACTTGTAACCAATCAACTGGTATCATAAAGGTGGTAAACAATCAGGTTGTGTTTATCAAAATTCCTGGTGGGGTTGATTGGACAAAGCTCTTCCAGTATCATGTCCTTCTGACAGCATAGTTTTTCTTTGTCAAAAAATGGGTATTCCATTTTTTTCTTTCTCCTTGTTTGTGATCCCAAGAACCATTCATCAGTTAATGTAATTTTTATCTGCAGTGCATATTCCATCTTCAACGAAGACTTCAGAGAGCTTCCAGGGACACTTAATGCAGATCGTCTTGACAGAGACATACGGACAGGTCAGTTATAGGCCTCCTACATTGTTGCTTGCCATCATCCAAGTTGCTTTAGAACCCTGTATCTATCCAAAAGTAGAATGAAATGGTAGTTGAACGATGTTTGCAATGATGTAGCATGATGCTCCAAAAGGAATATATTTTCTCAACTGGTATTTCTTTGTTCAACGCCATAACTTTATCCAAATGTTGCATACTGAAAATGTACTGAAGATTGGAGGAAAAGATTGACTAATGCACCAGAAAAATCATGCTCATGATATGATGAAGGTCTCCCCAGCTGAAAACCTTGGCCTTGGTTTATGTTTTAGCATGAACAGTTATTTATTTTCTTCCAGGGTTTTGGAAAACAATGATTTTGGGATAAAAGGGCAAGAGGGGCAGTATCCATTGAGAAATCCAACTTGGTTATGCTTTCTTGTATATGGTCGCTGATGATAATAAAGAGATAGTTGCAATAAATGGAACAAAATAACATCCAATCAAATTCTGCTTCATACCCTCCATATTTAATAAACAGGCAAGTCAAGAAGGTAACTATCAGTTTCTGCTTGTGGGATATTGACTCGCCATTCCAGCTCAACTGTTCAAGTCCGGGTAGATATTTTATCTACCAATGCCAGAGAACTGTGATATCCAGTCTTCAGTTTACAGCCACTTCCATATTAAATCATCTTCCTTAAGGCTATGTTTGGTTTGATATAAGAAACAGAAAGTTAAGGGAAAGTTCTCAAGGCTCAGTTTAGAAAGAGTAAAAATACAAATATGTACAGTACAATTACATACAAAATAATGCAAAATACAAGGTTTTGCACTCTCAAATTTGTATTTTCCTGAGGTGTTTCACAAAATTTGACAAAAATCTTTCCCCTTGCCTTCTCTTACTCTCTTATTTTCTATCAAACCAAAACAGAGCCTAAAGGGATCTCAGCTTGAATTGCAATGATGGGATGAATCAACTCAGAGTGGCTTGTGATTGTTGGGTTAGATGATCTAGACCATCTTTGTGAGTTAATGGGTAGGTCCATGGGAGGACCAAATCCTATTTCCTCTCTGCCCTGTGTCCAACTTTTTACTGGATAATATGATGTATTTGTGTGGCAAGTGACATGATTGGACTTGTTTATTGCAACCTTACATGCCATGTGTAGCTTGTGTTATCTAATCCACCATAAATATATATGTTTCTTTTGGATTTATTGGTGATGATGGCTTGTTGTCACGGTTGACCTCGTCAGATGTCACGAGCATTTTTATATTATTCAAGTCAATACTCAGGGCCACAATTATGAGTTTTGGTTTTTCTCCCAAACCAGATTTGACCAGTAGCTAGAGCTTCAAAACTTTAACTGGATTAGGTGATTAGCTCAGCTGAATCCTAGAAAAAATGGGTGGTGTGCTTGTTTGCTTGCAAAGAAATCAATCTGAGTTGGATTCACATTTGCTGGGTTGGCTAATTGAGTGAGTTCATCGGTTCAAGTTCAAACAAATGCTTGTTTTGTCCCCCACCTTGAAACCCAAAAGTAATAAAATAAATAAGCCCCACATATGGCCAATAGGGTCAATTCTATTGAAAGTGTCCAAGTCTTCTTAAAAAATCAAAATCTAATTTATTCATGTGTTTTTTCCTTGAAAATAGTACCCATCTCTCTTTAATATTCGAGCTTGGGATACAGCATTTGTGGTGTGGCATTCTTTCAATTTCAGCCCATCGTTGAAGGCACGTAATATGTGCCACGTGGCAACTACAGGGATCCTTCTAGGTTCTATTCATAAGTGTTTTTATCTTTCTCATGCTTATCTACTTTCAATACTTTGAATTCTTATAAATCCAAATATAAGTACAATTGAAAATAGTATATCTTAATCTCTGGTTAATTAATGCCCCCAAAATCTTGCTGTTGCCACGTGGCAACTTATTCAAAACGTTTACTACATGCAGCGAGAAGCTTTGAGAATATGTTGTATGAGAAGTGTTGGGGTCTTTATCAGTAGGGGTGTGAATGGACCGGTTTTGGGTTGGACGGACCAATAAGACATTGAATTTGGACGGACTGGACGGACCAATATGACATTTTGGATTGGACCCGGTCTGTCCATAATGAATTTATATCGGATTGAGCTAATATCTGGTCCATTGATAGAAGATTAGAACATAGGTGTCAATGGACCAGGTTTGAGTTGAAACCATTCTAAATTAACAGGAATTTGAACAGATTAAACAGTCTCTAGATCGGTCCAAAATATTCATTGGACTGGATTGGATCAGGCCCATTTGTAGTGGACTCACATTGGAGTGGAACGGATTGGACCAAATCCAGTCCAATTGACACCCATATTTATCGGTAGGTGAAATTAGATTTAGATGATGTCAATTATATAATTAACTACGGAAAAGAGAAAGATAACCTACTCAATTTGACTTGGAAAACCTCCTGTCGTCCACTTGCCCTAATTTCTCTGTCAGACTCCGACTAAATCTTGTTATCCCTTCATTTTTGTCAAACCTCTTCCCTTCATTTTCTTCCCAATTAATCTAACAACTGTGGGCTGGATTTTGACAAATTTTGTTAGCCCACATGATCATCATTTTTCTCCTTTTTTGGGCTAACATGATCATCAATCAGGAAATCCACCAAAAGCACCTTCTTGTTTGGAAAATCAAGGTTAGAGAGCATGGACTTCGGATTGATGGAGTAGATGTTTTATTGTTTTAACCGTCAGATTGGTGTCAAACTAGGAGTGGGCTCCATGTGTGATGTGACAGCCGTGTTCCCCGCATCAACAATTGTCAAAAGCAAAAGCTGCAAATAAGAAGAAGAAAATGTCAACTGATCACATGGCTAGGATTTCATCGGCGCGTTTTTAGTAGGAATAGATCAATACAAGGGTTAGGTTTAGGTTAACATATCCCGCCACTTTAGCAGCGGAGACAGCATATCATCATGTATTATGTATAATTTATTCACGTCTGACGACTGATAAAATTGGTTGTGCGGTCAACATCAACAGCGCCTTGACCACTCATCCGTAAAATAAAATTTCCCGGAAACCACCTGAATCAGCAACAAGTTTGGTGGGCCATATGTCTTTGCAACAACGGAGATCGGCTCACGCAAAAATCCAAAAAACAGTAATATACATGCCGCAGCACCCTATCATGACTCCTTACGTAATGAGAGCAAATTCCTGGCGGATGTCGACCGACGTCCGTCAATTACAAAAAACAAGGGCCCCACACAGCAGCAGAACCCGTCAAGTGTCATCCATCCGTTGACCAACAGATGCAACCCGGTCCCACTAACAAAAGTAGAGACACCTCAAATCAAACGGTGGATTCTTCCATGATTTACCGTGTCTCTTCCCCACAGGCCACACCATAAATTGTCGTCGCATCGCCTTTGTATGGGGCGGAAACACCGAAACAAGAAAAAAAAGGGTTAAAGAAAAAAAACTATCAATTTTTCGAAAAACTGATTGATTGATTAGTGATTACTGATTAGGGTTAGAGAGAGAGAAGGAAGGGAGACACTCACACTACACACACGTATTGCATGTGACATTACATGCTTTTGTCGTTTTGCTGCGAGAATTCGCGCCACCAACCAACTCTTTGACTTGCATCGCTTCGTAGTCCCGAAATTCTTTTTCTTTCTCCTCTTGTCTCTCTCTTCTACTTTTTTTTTTTTAATTAAATAAATAAATAAATAATTTTTTTTCTTAATAATTTAAGGTGGTTTTGACTAAGTGGGAAAGCGTTCAATGCGACCTCTCTCAAACCAAAAATCATCTCTCCCAAAAATATTATTTTTTAAATTTTTGGAAGAAATAAATTTCGTAATTGGTTGTGAGTTGTGTGACAGAGGATCTCGTGCCCCACACCTCACCCTTTGACTCATCAGATGCAGATCTCTCTCCCACCCTTTTTCGTATTCGCTTATCATCAGCCGTCCGATCTTCCCAGCTATTCGATCTTGTCGGCACACGTCGCATCCCGACCACGGAACCGTGATCCTTGATAGGCACTAGACATCTACAGAAATGTCCCCTACGCAGTGACCATGCTGGGAGCTTCAGCTTCTCACATGACGGAAATGCCCAACGGAATTCTTCCTTCTTAGGGTTTACGAACGAGGTCAAATATGTCAAAATGAGGAAAATAAAGCTGGGCTTGGGCTTTCAAATTTCGAATTCGGTTTTTTAAAAAGGAGGGAATATTTCAATCGTACAACGTAAAACAATGTCCTATCCCATCCTCCACGTTGACCTTGTTTCTTTAAAAAAAGTATTTATAAAATCAGGGCATATTCGTCAATTTTGTGTAAGTTCGGGGTTAAAAGAATAAAGAAAACACGTGGATTCGCTGACTTGGACAGTTAGGTGTCAGAAATTCCCTAATTAGCCAATGACGTGGATACATGATACAAAATTGCCGCTGAATAGTAGCGCCAGATGTAACCGCGAAAATGGTGCCAACGAAGACAATCGAGGAAAAATAAGTAAGAAAATCTCTCTCCCCTCTCTCTCTCTCTCTCTCTCTCTCTCTCTCTTTCTCTCGAAAATACAGTCTACTCTTGTACAGTGACAAGTCTTCTATCACTTTTCTCACCGCACCGGAAAAAAAGAAATTTCTAATAAAAATTAAGAAAAAAAAAACCAGAGAAATCTCTCTCTCGCTCGCTCGTGTTCTTATTTGTTTTCTTGCCGCGAAACCGCTCGGAGATCTCTGCAATAAGCTCCAAAACCACTAATACTATCAAATGTGATGGGAGGAGGTTTCTCGCGTTTCTTCCCATGCTTGAATCCGGCCAGCCAAAACCATCACCCGGATTTGATATTTACAGCTACTGAGCCTCTGGATGAAACCCTAGGCCATTCCTTCTGCTACGTCCGTTCGTCTGCCCGATTCCTCTCTCCGTCTCAGTCTGACCGTATCTCCCCTTCTCAGTCTCTCCGGCTCTCCCCCTCTCACGAGCCCGCTCTAAAAACCAGGTCCGGTTTGCCAGAAACCGCTTTCAAGGCCATCTCGGGCGCTTCTGTGAGTGCTAATACTTCGACTCCCAGGACTGTCCTCCAGCATGACGTTATTTACGACGACGCCACTGAATGTGCTGGTGCTCCAAAGTCCAGTGTCGTCAATGGCTTCGAGAGCACCTCGTCTTTCAGTGCTCTGCCGCTGCAGCCTATCCCACGCGGCGGCGATGCGTCGGGTACAATTGAGCGAGGGTTCTTCATGTCGGGGCCTATTGAGCGAGGCGCACTATCCGGGCCGCTCGATGTGACCAGTGCTTCTGATGGGGGAAGAGTCCCTTTCTCGGCTCCACTTGGTGGTTTTTACGTGAAAAAGAAGAGGAAGAAGGGGATTTCTGGGATCCGGAAGGCGTTTTACCGGAACTTCTCGGAGAAAAAACGACCCTGGGTGGTGCCGGTTCTTAATTTCGTCGGCCGGAAAGATGGTCCAGCGTCGGGGTATGGAGGTGAACCGGAGGGAAAGAATGATAGCAACGTTCAGTGGGCCCATGGGAAGGCCGGAGAGGATCGGGTTCACGTCGTCGTGTCTGAAGAACATGGATGGCTCTTCGTTGGCATTTATGATGGTTTCAATGGCCCTGATGCGCCGGAATTCTTGATGGGTAATCTATATCGTGCTGTGTTTAATGAACTCGAGGGATTGTTTTGGGATGCTGAGAAAGATTCTTCAGTGCTTACAGGGCAAGAAAATGGGAATAGCGACTTAGAAAATGAAGTTGGTGTGGAAGGAAATGAACCGGGCCAGGAGAACACTGCCGGAGAGGCGGCAGAGGATGAGGAAGTAGTTCAGAAGAACTGTGCCGAAAGGATGGAAAACGAAGAAGTGTGTCAGAAAAACTGCGGTGAAGGGATAGCAAAGGATGAGGAAGTGGGTCAGGAGAAATGTGGCGATGAGGGGGCCAAGGATGAAGAAGTTTTAGAGGGTGGCAAAGATTTGAATCCACCTTCTTTAAATAGTGGGTCAGTCAAGAGAGTGACTTTCCAATCAGAGCAGACGGTCTCAAGAAGGAAACTTCTTTGGGAATTTCTTGCCGAAGCTGAGGCAGATGATGGACTCGATCTTTCAGGTTCGGACAGGTTTGCCTTTTCTGTTGACGATGCACTTCGCATTAGTAACTCCGGTTCTTCCGTGAGGAAACGATCTCTGTTGTTGTCCAAACTCAAATATGGGTTTTCCAGGAACAAGGAGGGTCATACCAGGAAGTTGTTCCCATGGAAATACGATTGGGAGGATAAAGAGAAAAACGAAACTGAGAACAAAGTCGAGGATAAATCTTCTCGGAGCTTTAGGAAGCGCAGGGTGGGCCCAATTGATCACGAATCAGTTTTAAGGGCTCTATCACGCGCTCTCGAAATTACTGAGTTGGCATACTTGGAAATGACAGACAAGGTTCTTGATCGGAATCCCGAACTGGCACTTATGGGTTCCTGTTTGTTGGTTGTGCTGATGAGAGATGAAGATGTATATGTTATGAATGTGGGTGATAGTCGTGCCATTGTTGCTCAATATCAATCCCAAGCATTCAATTCTAGTATGGAGCCAAAGGTACAGAGGATTAATGGGGCAGAAATGGAGGGTATTGTTGAAGAGTCAAGTGCCACTGGTAGTGCAGAAAATGCAGGGGGGAATGAGGCTCCTGCTCAAGTAATGAGGTTGACTGCATTGCAGCTGTCCACTGATCACAGCACAAGCATAGAAGAAGTAAGATTTAATTTGAAAGAACTTAAAGTTCAATGCCAATTCTTACTTTTGTTGTAGGACATTGTGGACTCACTAACAAATTTCGTTTTACATTGAAATGTCATCAACCTATTACTGTTATGTTCTGGGTCCAAACATTTTTCATATAAACACTGTTCTTAACATTGATGCCGTATACCCAATACTTGATATTAAGTTGATTTTATGTATTGTATAGCCAATTTTTCCAAAGGAGTGAATCGGGTGCTCTTTGTCTCACAGGCAAGGTTCATTTTGTTGGGTGTGCCTCACCTGCACCTAGGTGCATGCCACCTGGCTTTAGATATGTTCTGATGAATTAACCTTGAATCTTATGTTGAATAGGTAATTTACTATAGTTTAGGTAGCAGCAATGATGTTTAGAATTTAAAATGTTCAGCTTATGTAGGAGTTGGTCATACAAGGCTACACTTTCTGTTAATAACACGACAGTCTAACCAATTAAGCTAATAGGCTTTTTAAAATATTTTATTTTCTTTCTTTTTTTCAGAATTTTGATTTGCATATTATTATATATTATTATTTTTAATTAATGTGTTATATAGGAACCTGTTGCGCTTTGTGCTTCTCACTTCTAAAATGCTATGTGGAACAAGATCAACCATTTAAAATTTCACTTCACTCTGATAAATTGGATTTTTGTATAACTTAACACACAAGTAACTTAGTCCAGTCTTTCAGGGATTTTCTTTTTTGATCAGCTATCTTTCAAGGCTGCCTAAGCAACAAATTGTTCCCCAGGAATAGGGGTGATCAACCACTAGGCTCTCCCTTGTTGAAACCCCTGCAATTTGAACTTTTGTTGAAATGCCATATCTTTTCTTACTGATTTATCACATGGTCTATCCGCATTCACCTTAGCAATCTGATGTGGTAATCTTGTATTTGTTATTTTCCACTAAGATTTCTTACCTGTGTTAATTTAACAATGATAGTTTTTGCTGATAAATACAATATTTCTTTCATGGGTTTTCCCTGTTTGTTTATGCACATCATCTGAGAGATTTGTTTGCAAGACTTTGCTTGAAATATGCCAACTTCTGCAGGAAGTCTTACGGATCAAGGCAGAACATCCAGATGACAACCAATGTATTGTTAATGACAGAGTGAAAGGTCGTCTTAAGGTCACTCGAGCATTTGGGGCCGGATTTCTTAAACAGGTTTGTTCATTTATTCTTTTCCCTTATTCACCGTATTTTTTTCACCTTTTCAAGATTCAGGCAATATATCACAAAGGAAGCAAAGGGTGAAATGATTACAGCATCTATACAAGTGCAATCTTAAGAGTATATTAGTCCCTGTGAACATAAAGTCATGGTCTGCCGGTATCTTGCTTGTTGTCAATGACATCAATTTTCTTTGAAAGAAATCTAATGCATGGGCCAGATGGATTTATGTTCTGTTAGCTGAGTTACTATGTAAGTATCATTGCATGCAGAACCTTAGGCCCCTTGTGTCGTACATTGGATATCTTGATGGGTCAAACTTGCCTGATTAAATGGTTCTAAATATCCTTTCCTTTTTCCCCCATCCTTCCATGTTTTGCTAAAAATCAGGAAAAATATTGTAGACGTTTGGTTAGTTGGGATAAATCTCGTGAGTGTATCATATGTGAACCTAAAATAATATGCATAGATTATCTTTAAAGAATATTGGACAAGTATCATTAATATTGTCAAGTTATTCTCATATTTATCATAAAATATTCTTTTGTATATTTAAATGATGCACCCTATCTGTACGTTGCTGCAGCCAAAGTGGAATAATGCATTGCTGGAAATGTTCCGGAATGATTATATTGGTACTGAACCATACATATCCTGTTCTCCTTCTCTTTGTCACCGTAAGCTTGGTCCCACTGATCAGTTCTTAGTCCTCTCATCCGATGGTCTATATCAATATTTAACCAATCAGGAAGTGGTTTCTCATGTTGAGAATTTTATGGAGAAGTTTCCAGATGGAGATCCTGCACAACACTTAATTGAGGAGCTCCTATACCGTGCAGCCAAGAAAGCCGGTAAGACAAACTCTCAACCTAAAAGATACTTACCTGCTATTTTCTTTTATCTTTTATTGTTTTAGTTCTTTATTTCTTAATATAGTAAATTCGAGAAATAAATTCCTGATAAAATAATTAAGAAAGAAATTTGGCTATGAATTGATATTGAGATAAAAAAAAGCAGCCTCATTAATGAAATGAGAACATGGAAAAGACAGAGTACAAGGAACCTTCCTACTTAAACCTGAGAAAACTTGTTAACTATTGCTGCAAAGCATATTAAAATCTTTCGACACCAGAAGAAGAAGGCCATTACCTAATGCTAAACCTGGCATCTGTCAGTAGTCACTAATAGCGACTAGATAGACAATAGGTTGATATTTGTTAGACATGAAAATGCTTGTATACGTGTGCTGTAGAGATGTGCCTTTCGACAAACTAGTGTTTTAAAAAATGCCAAAAAATTCAAAAAGATGCAAAAATTAAAAATATAAACTAAAATGTTAAAATAGATGTTTTTAAAAAACCTATTATCTCAAATTAAAATACATAAACATAACATGTAAAACATATTAAAATGAAAAGTTAAAAATAAAATCAAGCATAGCATATAAAACATATTCAAGCATGTAAAACTCTCAATCTCTTTAATTTTTTCCCAATTGCATTACTTTAAATAGTTAATGTGACGTTAAATATTATGCATTCCTGATTCTACGAGCCAGCTTTGTACCAAGCCCCTCGAGGCAAGCCAAAACAAGTCCATATTAAGGCCTTAAGTTCTTAATCCTTTAAAAAAAGATTTTATAATTTTATTTGTCTTTTAAAAATATCTTTTATTATGATGAACGAGTGAACAAAATTAGCAAATAGGGGGATCAAAAGGGGACAATGGGGATATTAATAGTTGAAAATTGTAGAAACTGAGTAGATTTTCCAGTCAAGATCATCCTAAGAGAGGAAATTGTGGAGAATTAATTTATCCCAATTATATGCCATTCTTATATTTGACCAACTTAAAGGAATTTCAGTGCTTTCCCTTTAATGATGAGAACAAAGCCCCAGGCTTGGAGTTATTATTATTTGCCTTTTTATCTGGTCATATGACTTAATCAAGGGTGATGTAGTGAAGGTTCCTATTTTGTGGCAATAGGATTATCAATGAAAGAAGTCTGTTTTTATCTTGAAAAACCTGCACTTAAGCCACTGATGAGTTAATCATTGAAAGGAAACATTTTGCTTACCAGATGAAGATGTGAAGGTTAGAGTCAATGCACCACTTCATTCCTAACAACATGGTTTCCAAAAGTAACTCCAATATTCTAGAAGACATGAATGTTCCAAAACTATTGACCTTATAAATGTATAAGGTGAATAAGTTAGATGGTCCTTGTTAGAGAGTTTAAAGGTTTATTTGTTATTTAGATTCTTTAAAAAAGTGATAAATATTTATTTGAGACCTCTTATGTTCACTGTTGGGAGAATAAGTATGAAAAGATGGTGGCAACAGTATGGCAGTAGTAGTCTTCTGAAATTAGAACAACAACAAATCTGTGATGATCAAAGTGAATCTGCAGAATAAAGAGACAGAAAACTTATTGGTAATAGCTGAGGTGTGGAAAATTTCCTCAGCCCTTAAAAAACTGACTTTCTGGCTTTTGGGAATGTGTCTGTTGGTGAAGGTTTCTGGTGGTTAGTCTCTAGGATACAACAGCTCTCAGCCTTGGAGTTGTGTGCACTCATAGCCCAAAGCAATGAACCAGTTTATTACGTATGCCCTATCCACAGGAAGAGAAAGCAAAGGTGGAAAATGTGAAAAAGTTACAACAGCCTTCTCAATGCACAAAGAGATAAGAAGTCACCCTGTAATGTCTTCTCCTTCCTCTCTATAACTCCTTTCAAGTCTACGATAGTCAAGGCTTCATTGAAGTCGACCAGAAGAGATGGTTACAAGACATACTTGTGAAAAGCTCTAAAATGGTCACAAAATTAGCAAGAAATGGGACACAAAAATTAAGAGAAAAACTAAGGGAGCCAGAGACCTTGTGCATGGAATGGCATTGCGTGGTGCACAGGCATGCTCATGAGCTTAGCCCATCACATGTCCCATACAGCATATATCAAGAGAACAAAACTATATATAAGCTTTAGTAAGAATCAGTGTTTTAAAAGGCGTGGGAGGCGTACACCTGGAGGCACGCCTCCAGGCAAGGCGCTCCCAAAACACCTTGAGATGTATGCCAGAAGTGCTGACACCTCTGAGGCGTATGCCTCAGGTGCAAGAATGCGCTTTTTTTCATGAGGCATGCTAGAGGCGTACGCCTCATGCACATCTTATATAAAACGACAGAAAAAAAAAGGAAAGGAAAGGAAAAGAAAGGGAAGGGAAGGGAAAGAAAAAGAAAGAGAAGAAAAAAAGAGAAAAGGAAAGAAAAGAAAAAGAAAGGGAAGGGAAGAAAAGATAAGGGGAAAGA